GAAGTATACACAAAGAACTTAATAAGAACTTGTCGTAAAAGGCGACTAACGGAATCGGGTGGTCAGGCTCGCTGGCTTGGTTGACACATGTCATCGGTTCCCAATTGTGCAGATCGATGCTCATGCTGTTGATCACTGGATTGTCTGGTCCAGACTCGATTATTTACAGACCGCCGCCATATAGCTGGAATATTGCTGAGTGCGGCGTAAAACTAATCTCACTATCAGCATATAACATAGGTTGTGGGCAACATCAACACCAACACCACCAACACCAACACCAACACCAATACCACCAACACCAACACCAACACCCACCAACACCAACACCAACACCAACACCAACACCAACACCAACACAACCAACACCAACACCAACACAACCAACACCAACACCACCAACACACCAACACCAACACCAACACCAACACCAACACCAACACCAACACAACCAACACCAACACAACCAACACCAACACCAACACAACCAACGCCAATGCCAACGCCAACACCAACACAGTAGGAAAGGTTTTTTAACTGGCAGATCGGTCGAGTACTTCATCTTCCCCTACAGTCATATCGATGGCAATGCCATTCCTTGTCAGGTCAAAGAGATGTTTTCAAGTAATGTTTTTTCACTAAAACTGCAAAACTTGATTGTCAGATGGAAAACATGCAGACCTGATTATCCCTGCAACCTTGAATCCTGAGATATCAAAAGTATATGCATCATACTTTTGTATGGGTCATATTCTTGGTGTCATTATTTCTGGCATTCCATGAAAGTTAACCATATACTGTAACACATGGGAATATGTGAACCAGGAACTGATGATGTCGTCCTGATCACAGATCACAGATGTCAAAGTAGCTGCATGGCGCCATGACACCATGACACTATCCAGAGCCAGCTCAGAGAAAGCAGTGTTCATCAAGGACGTGAAAGCTCAAGCTGTGTAAAAATTGAAGAATAAATCTGAAAAATAAATGCAAGCTGAAGAACCATCAAACACATTATCTGCATGTCAAATTTGGAATAGTAATGGACTGCTAAACAAACTAAGAAAAATCGTAGTTATCGACTGCAAGGATTATGCAGATCACTGGTTGAGTTGTCAGATCAAGATCATGTCATTTTGCATTAGCTTAGCAGTCGTGTTTTCAGTGTTGGTGAATAATTTCGGTTGATCTTCAGCATGAATGCTAAACATTGTATAATTGTGTTAAACTAGAAAAACAGATTTTATGAGAGCTTGATTCACTCTGTATGTTGAGTACAGTACTGAGTGAGTGAGTATGGTTTTACGCCGCTTTTAGCAATATTCCAGGAATATCACGGTGGGTACACCATAAATGGGCTTCACACATTGTACCCATGTGGGGAACCGAACCTGGTCTTCGGCGTGACGAGCGAACGCTTTAACCACTAGGCTTCCCGACCACCTCGAGTACAGTACAGTATTTGGGATCATGCTATTGTTGACAGATGTCCTCCTCCTTCTACCTCCTACCACTTCTCCCCCTCCTACCACTTCTCTCCTGCATCCCCACATACAGTGAAAATAATGAAGGAACTTATATCCAGAACTGAGAAAGGTCATCATCAAGTAATACGGTTGTTCTTGGTAGAATACACATGTAGAGATTCACTGAGGTTAATGTCATCCGTTGGAATATCATCATCAATTATGAAGTTTATAACATGATTCTAAAGAAGTAGGTGTCTGAAAAAAGGTCAGTTGTCTTAAATACTTGATTGAGAATTAATTAAGTCCAACAGCTCACTGACTAACGTCTGCATGCTTGTGTAGGTTACTTGTAAAACATTATTATATTTATCCTTTAACCTTTAGAATTGATAGATGCATTTTTAATTAAAAGTCAGTGAAAAGCCTTATACGTCAATGCGATAAACATCTGCTGGTGAAACCTGTAAATCGTATGATCAGGGTGCCATTGTACAAAACAACCTTAGCGCTACGCCAATCGTAAGTCTGTGTTAAGGTATGGGAGTGACGATCACCTTAGCGCTACGATCGCTTTGTGAAATGGAATATGAACCCACATGCACTCTGTAAGGGAGTTCACTCCAGTTAAAGTATAAGTCCACCCAAAGTAAGGGTTTGAGGTCACTAATATTTCTTAAGTAAGACTTTGTGTTGACCTGGGTGACGTTGTACAAATCAACCTTAGCACTAAGACTACCGTAGGTCTATGTTAAGGTATGGGAGTTACGGTCACCTTAGCAGTAAGACTACCTAAGTCTATGTTAAGGTATGGGAGTTACGGGCACCTTAGCGCTAAGACTACCTTAAGTTTATGTAAAGGTTTGGGAGTTACGGTCACCTTAGCACTAAGACTACCTTAAGTCTATGTCAAGGTATGGGAGTATTGGTCACCTTAGCACTAAGACTACCTAAGTCTATGTTAAGGTATGGGAGTTACGGTCACCTTAGCGCTAAGACTACCTTAAGTTTATGTAAAGGTTTGGGAGTTACGGTCACCTTAGCACTAAGACTACCTTAAGTGTATGTTAAGGTATGGGAGTTACGGTCACCTTAGCACTAAGATCGCTTGTGCAACGGCATCCTGATGTTTTCTCCTGACAGTGTTTCTATAATTGTTGGACTGTCACTGTGGTCTAGCGGGTAGAGCATTAGCTTGGCGAGGGGAAGGTGGTGGTTTTGTTCCTGGCTGCATCATACCAAAGATGGTACTTGTTGTTACCCTGCCTGGTGCTTGGTATAATGGTGAATGGTGATGTGATCTGGTTTTTCCTGACAGAGTTTTCGATCCCCCGACCCCGTCATACCAAAAGACGTTAAAATATGGTACTTGTTGGTCCCTGCCTGGTGTTTCGCATTAATAGGTACAACAAGGACTGATCGGCTCGGAGTCAGTATAATGTGTCTGAGTGGGGTATTCATGCTTCACTGCCGCATGGTATCTCAGTGGGCCAGCACTATAAAACCAGCTTAAGCCTGGGCTAGTACGAGCAGCCGCACATACACATACACATGCATGCACGTCGTCATATGAGCGAAATATTCTCCAGCACGACGTTAAACCCAATTTCACCTCACCTCACCTGACAGTGTTTCTATAATTGTTGAACTGCCATCGTGGTCTAGGGGATAGAGCATTTGCCCGGAGACAAGGTCTGGCTAACATCAATGTCATTATACTGTATGAAGGTGGGTTATCTATGTTAAACTGCTGCAGGGTATCTCACTGGTCTAGTCTCGTAAACCTGTCATTAGTGCAGAGACTAAAGCAGGAAGCTGTTCAATTGTACACTGAAACACATGCAGCAGTACCCTGAATGATCCTTTGATGTTGGCTAAAAACACTTGACTCTTCTTGATTGACAGACCTCTTTGTTCATTTACAGGTAGATTAACAACTAGTCTCTGAAATGAACATATTTTACAGAAAAAAGTTCAAAGTAAAAACAAATTAAATATAATGAAAAGGAGCCCTGAGACTTTGTTCATGTTAAAAACTGTGGAGATCTAGACTTGCCACATTTTCTAGACTTGTGTGGGCTTTCTTGGATATACTTGCTTCAGGGTCTGTATGACAGACTAATTTACAGGCATCATATCTATTTAATTCATTATGTAATCTGTTTAATTCAATGTTACAAGATGTTGATCAGTTTGATAACAGTGACAATTTGTCACAAGTCTAACTAAGTGAAGGATATGATATCTGGTTCTAATTTGATGTAATGTTAACAATCTTCCAAACAGGTTAGAAAACCGTCACTTATATATTGCTCAACGTCATGCCTCAATCACTCCGGGGCAACTATCTCACAAAATATGCTTCCATGAATCATTTATTAACAAAGTTGTGAATTTCTAAAGTCAAAGGTCCAATCTAGTTGCATGGAAAATGTCAAAGCTGTAGATTAAAGGGCCGCTAGCAGTTATTCTCTCAAGAGTTATCTCCCTTATACCATTTCCTACAACCAACACTAACTCTTGTTTTTAGGCAAATATATGATTCTGTTGTGAGGTATAGAGCTGTGTAGGTGGCTTAGTACAGGGTTGTGTCTGATACACTTTTTCTCAAGAACAGATTTTGTTTTCCCTTCCAAGGTAAAAAAGGAAGATAAAGCGATAGTTTTGTGTTTCTCTACAAGCTTGTCCACAACTTTTTGCTGGTACTTACAAAATGTTCTGAATAAAAACACTTTCTAACAAATCAAAATGTCACCTGAAACATTATTGCCATGTTATTCAGATTAACCTGTATCTTTGCTTTGAAAAGAATATTGACCAGTAAGGATGTTTATCAGTCATTAAAAGGTTGGGGCCAATGGAAGTGTAGATGTGTTTGTGATATTGCTGGAATATTGCTAAAAGCAGCGTAAAACTAAACTCACTCACACTTTGGCTGGCAGACCGTGGAGGCCTGTAGTCAGGTGTTGTTTTACAATGTAGTCATATCAGCTGTTAACACTGAGCTGAAGTAGGACAGAGCTAGGTTGTCAATGATCCACCCATGCTTGTCTTGGCGACTAACACCGTCAGGTGGTCAGGCTTGCTGACCAGGGCCTAGATTTTCGAAGCTCTTTTAGAGCTAAGATAGTCGTAAGTGCCATTCATTAACACTAACTTACGACTATCTTAGCGCTAAGAGAGCTTCGAAAATCTAGGCCTAGGTGGACACGTCATCCATCCCAGCTGTGTAAAAGTGATGCTCATGATGTCAGTCACTGGATTATCTGGTCCAGATTCAAATATTTTACAGACAAGTATGATATAGGTGGAATACTACTGAGTGCGGTGTTAAACAACAGATAAAAACTTGTACAGCTTTGCCTTTACTTTAGCAAGTTTCTAAGTGATTGTATGACAGCAAGCTGTAAGACCGTACTATTTTCTGTGTGCTTCTCGTCTTATACAGTCCTCCTGTTTTGTACTTGTGAGTATCTGAATGTCAGGTCAGTCTGATGTGGAATGAAGACACCCTTGATATTTTCTGTGTTTCAGACACGGCATCTTGTCATACATCATGTCTGCCTACAACTCTCACATGGTCTCCCTGGCTACCAGATCACATCAGTCGCTGTGTAAAATAGCATCCAGGTAATGCAATACAGTCAGTTTCTGACAGGTTAGTTTGCTGGACTTGTCACTGTCTTTGATGAAGTCTCAGCCTCAAGTTACAGCAACAGGATTGTGGGGCACATTTGGGATGAGACATTGGTTCTGTAGATACATTTAAACTTGTTCATCTACCCATCCATCCATCCAGTTGTCCACTTCCATAAATCCACTAGTCTCTCCATCCATTATCATCCATCCATTCACAAGCCCACTTCTGTAAATCCACCACTCTGTTCACCACCCATCCCCATCCATCCATCTATCCATCCATCCACAATTCCACTTCTGTAAATCCACCTCTCTGTTCACCACCCATTCATCATCATCCATCCATCCACAAGCCCACATCCATTGATCCACCTCTCAATTCATCATCAATATGTCCCTCCAATTAACTATTCATCACTCTTCCATCTGTCCACCCAATCATACAAACCAATTCATCTTTTCCCCATCCATTTAGCCATCCTTCAACCCACCCACACACCTTGTTGTATCCATCCACCTCTACATTTGCCATTCATTAACCTGCATCCACCCTTTAATTCATCTACCATTCCATGGGGCGGTGGGGTAGCCTAGTGGTTAAAGCGTTCGATCGTCACGCCTAAGGCCCGGGTTCGATTCCTCACATGGGTACAATTTGTGAAGCCCATTCCTGGTGTCCCCCGCCGTGATATTGCTGGAATATTGCTAAAAACGCCGTAAAACTGAACTCAGTCAGTCAGTCAGTCTACCATTCCATTCATGCCTTCATTCCATCCATCATACTTCCACCATTCCATCTACCCATACATTCACTCATCCATTCCTTCCTTCCCTCTTTGCCACCATCATCCACCTTTGATCTTCTTGTCTCCTGTCATCAGGTATATATTTCCTCTTTCAGTTCATTCGTTTAATCCCCTAAATTACTCAGGGGTGGACTCTGTCTATTGTGAGGGTTTACTGTTACCATGCTCAGACCTTTGTTTTGAACACTAATAATGTAATAAGCAATATCCCAGCAATATCATGGCTGGGAAACACCAGAAAAGGGCTTCACACATTGTACCCATGTTGGGAATCAAACCCAGGTCTTCGGCGTGACAGGCAAACGCTTTAACCACAAAGCTACCCCAAGCTTTTACATATTATAGAAATAACTATCTTAAGTTATGCAGTAGCTGGCTTTGTCATAATACCTCAGTCACTCACTTACTCACACAGTCCACCACATACAAAACATGCACTCACTAACTCACTAACTCACTCACTCACCCACTCACCAACTCACCCACCCACTCACCCACTCACCCACCAACTTTATGTTCCCTCTGTGCAGGTTAGCCACTACAGGGTTTAGCAACCTGCTGCACCACAGTGAGGCTGACTCAAGTCCGGACAGCCTGTGTGACCGACGCAATGGCTTCCAGTCCGAGGTGCTACCCAGGATCCCCGTCAGCCCTGCCCTGCTGGTCGAAATGCTGTCTGGAGTCTACTATGTCATGTAGGAGTCCTTGATGTGTCATCAGAGTTCTGTCATGTGTCATGTAGGCAGTAGGCATCCATATAAAGTCTTCCAGGTCTACTATCTGTCATGGTGGCATCCTTGTAAAGTCTTCCCAGTTCTAAGATCTGCCATGTAGGCAATCTTGTAATGTCTTCCAGGTCTACTATCTGTCATGTAGGCATCCTTGTAATGTCTTCCCAGTTCTAAGATCTGCCATGTAGGCAATCTTGTAATGTCTTCCCAGTTCTAAGATCTGTGATGTAGGCATCCTTGTAATGTCTTCCCAGTTCTAAGATCTGTCATGTAGGCATCCTTGTAAAGTCTTCCCAGTTTTAAGATCTGTCATTTAGGCATCCTTGTAAAGTCTTCCCAGTTCTAAGATCTGTCATGTAGGCATCCTTGTAATGTCTTCCCAGTTCTAAGATCTGTCATGTAGGCATCCTTGTAAAGTCTTCCAGGTCTACTATCTGTCATCTAGGCATCCTTGTAAAGTCTTCCCAGTTCTAAGATCTGCCATGTAGGCAATCTTGTAATGTCTTCCCAGGTCTACTATCTGCCATGTAGGCAATCCTGTAATGTCTTCCCAGATCTAAGATCTGCCATGTAGGCATCCTTGTAATGTCTTCCCAGTTCTAAGATCTGTCATGTTGGCCTCCTTGTAAAGCCTTCCCAGTTCTAAGATCTGCCATGTAGGCAATCTTGTAATGTCTTCCCAGGTCTACTATCTGCCATGTAGGCAATCTTGTAATGTCTTCCCAGGTCTAAGATCTGCCATGTAGGCATCATTGTAAAGTCTTCCCAGGTCTAAGATCTGCCATGTAGGCATCCTAGTCAAATCTTCCCAGGTCTAAGATCTATAATGTAGGCATCCTTGTAAAGTGTTTGCAGGTCTAAGATCTGCCATGTAGGCATCCTTGTAATGTCTTCCCAGTTCTAAGATCTGCCATGTAGGCATCCTTGTAATGTCTTCCCAGTTCTAGGATCTGTGATGTAGGCATCCTTGTAAAGTCTTCCCAGGTCTAAGATCTGTGATGTAGGCATCCTTGTAATGTCATCTTGGTTGTGTGAGTCATCATGTATGCTTCATCTTGTAATGTCATCATAGTTTTGAAATCTGTCATGTAGAGAATTTTTGTATTTCATCCATGCATTTTGTTGATGTGTTCCCCATCAGGATATAAATACCTAAAGTGCCCAAACTTTGGTGTGCAGCTTTAGTATGACCCCAGCTTTAACCGATCTTCCTTCATAGAAGGATAAGTGGTCTTTCATATTACAGGAATGCCAGCAGGTTTTGTTGTTAAGGAAGACATTGTTACAGAGGATGCTATGTCTTTTCCAGGTTCAATGGTCAAGCAAACGTGGGTATCCAGTCAGTAGAGGACATCCACTCTCGGGCCTGCTATGAGCTCTACTCTGATGTTCAACTGGTAGGTACAGCAGTGTTTTAACACTGCACTCAGAGATATGCTAGTTATATGACAGTAGGGTGTAAATGATCATGCCTGGACCAGATACAACTGTGTTTTCCGTCATGAGCTTGAGACATGGTGACATGCCACAACCTAGTCAGTGAGCCGGACCTCCTGATATCGTCAGTTGCATTGTATGACAAGAATTGGTTGCTGAAGGTCAGTGACCCGTGAAGGACCGGGTTAGAGTGTGCCTTCAGTAACCCATGCTTGTCGTAAGAGGCGACTAACAGGATCAGGTGGTCAGGCTCGCTGACTTGGTTGACACATGTCATCAGTTCCCAATTGCGCAGATCGATGATCACTGGATTGTCTGGTCCAGACTCGATTATTTACAGACTGATGCCATATAGCTGGAATATGGCTGAGTGTGGCGTAAAACTAAACTCACTCACTCACTCACTGAAGGTCAGTTCTAACTTGGACCTTCAGTGGGTGATGATGAAAAAAAGAATAAAGATGATTAAAGATCAGATAAGGAAAGAACATTGAGAGGGAGATGCATTTTCTTTTCTTTTCTCTGTATTTTTGTGTTATTCAAAAACGTTTTCATTCCAACCCATTTTCCTTCTCAACCTAGGTGAACCTGTTTGAAGGTTAACAGTTAACCTCTGGCATTTAATCGCAAAGCTGTTTTTTCTTTTTAAAATCTTGCATTAATGTTGATAAAGACATGCATTCAGTATCACATGGTCCAGCTGTGAGAAAAAGGTATAATTTTGTTCCACTTTTCTTTATCCATTAAATAGATGAAAGCCATGGAATTTTCAGGAATTGGTAAATGGGAAAATTACGACAGTTGTTGATGTAGATGTATGTGAAGTGTCACTAACAGATGTGTTTGAGGAGGCGAAAGTCAATGGTTACACTGCAGGGCTTTCATTATGATGTGTTAGACTGCACCAGTCATTAAAGCGTACCCCTTCTGACAAAGACCAGACTGTGATTGCCCACTATCCCCCCCTCCCAATCCTATTCCTCTCTCCATGTACATGGTGAAATTCATGCATATCTGCCTCATGACTATGATAGATAACTCCACAATGTATGTTAACCTTAAGATGATTAAAATCATGATGACACAGCATAAAGAAATATATGTTTCTTATCTTCAGTATTATTACTTGTTTGTGATGAATATAATTACCGTTGTTTATTCAAAACATATGAAGATTTTTTTGCATCAAAACCGTCAAATGTCAAAATAAATCAGTCTGCAATTTTTCAAAGTTTGAAATTTTGTTAAATTTCACAAAGATTTGCGATTAACATCATATTGTTACTTGTTCATGAGGGACGAATATAATTACAAAAGTTTATTCAAAACATAGTGATCTTTTCAAATGTGTGCAAATTCGGTTAAATCTTAATTTGAATGTCAGATTAAATCAGTCTAAGAATTTTAACAGTTTGAAATTTTATTAAAATTTCTAAACATTTTAGATTTAAATCATACATAAAGATTAGATCTTGGTAAAAGTACAACATTTAAATGATGATTGATGAATATATGTATGAAAAGTCTCCAGAAAAAGGCTGTCCCCATCCTTCAACTGCATGGGTCAGCACGGAGGATTCAAGTCCCATTATGTTCCTCGTACATTTCTATCTTTTTTCCTGGTGCACATGAAACTTGTTTCACATGTGTGGTTGCAAGGTATGCAAGCCCATGCTGATGTTGACTGGTGGTGGTCTGTTTGTCTTTGGATTTTTCAGAGGAAAACAGCTTGAACGTTTTGAGAATTTTGTGTAATTTGTGGTAGAATTGATAATGACCGTGCCAGTAATGAATTGAGGAGTTTAAGTATCCGTGGTAGTTACCAGGCATAGTAGGTGAAGATGAGATCCATTTGGTACAAGAACATTTTTATTTGACAATTTGTTTTACAGTTTAAAGTGAAAGGAAACTGAAGGTTATATATATGAGCTCAGTAAACTTGTGTAGTAGTAATAAATGCAGTTATGATGCGCTAAACTCCATAAGGTGCAGCACATTATTACCTCGGATGACCCAAGCTGCTTGTGAGGTGCTAGAGGTTAATAGTCACATGACTTATACCACCGGGTACCCACTTCCTGCTGGGTGAACAGAGGCAATCTTGAACAAACTCACTTGCCTAAGGTGAGACCACATGTTTCACATGTGCTTCGTTTTGGGGCAGGACTGAAGTCCTAGAAATTCTCATGAGTCAAGCTGCCAAACACAGTCACCCATCCAAGGACTCTCCGTGCCCAACGTTGCCTAACTTCAACTGATTTGTGACCTGAGCTCTATGCACAGGACCACACGCCACCAATATGATGCTGACTGGTGCCATGTTAGAATCTGTGTCGATATCTGGGATTGATGGTATTAGTTCCTTTGATACTGAAAGTTTACAGGTCATAAAATAGTTCTGTACAGAGTTGCATCCCTTAGGTATACCAGGATATGTTGGTTCACATTCCAGATTCTTGATTATGAGCCTTGAGTTGTCAGTATGACAACTTCACTCATAGGCTTCACTCAAGGGTTTCTTGTCTATAATTGCACAATATCAAAGTCACTGTAAGTTGGCTGTTGGAGTGAATCTCACATGATCTGCTAGTTATAGCATCAGTAACTGAGTGATCTACATATGAATGAAAGTCACATGAACTTGACAATCTACATATGAACAAAATCGACATGAACTTGATGATCTACATATGAATGAAAGTCACATGAACTTGACAATCTACATATGAACAAAATCGACATGAACTTGATGATCTACATATGAATGAAAGTCACATGAACTTGACAGTCTACATATGAACAAAATTGATGTGAACTTGATGATCTACATATGAATGAAAGTCACATGAACTTGACAATCTACATATGAACAAAATCGACATGAACTTGATGATCTACATATGAATGAAAGTCACATGAACTTGACAGTCTACATATGAACAAAATCGACATGAACTTGATGATCTACATATGAATGAAAGTCACATGAACTTGACAATCTACATATGAACAAAATTGATGTGAGCTTGATGATCTACATATGAATGAAAGTCACATGAACTTGACAATCTACATATGAACAAAATTGACATGAACTTGATGATCTACATATGAATGAAAGTCACATGAACTTGACAATCTACATATGAACAAAATTGATGTGAACTTGATGATCTACATATGAATGAAAGTCACATGAACTTGACAGTCTACATATGAACAAAATGACATGAACTTGATGATCTACATATGAATGAAAGTCACATGAACTTGACAATCTACATATGAACAAAATCGACATGAACTTGATGATCTACATATGAATGAAAGTCACATGAACTTGACAGTCTACATATGAACAAAATCGACATGAACTTGATGATCTACATATGAATGAAAGTCACATGAACTTGACAATCTACATATGAACAAAATCGACATGAACTTGATGATCTACATATGAATGAAAGTCACATGAACTTGACAATCTACATATGAACAAAATCGACATGAACTTGATGATCTACATATGAATGAAAGTCACATGAACTTGACAGTCTACATATGAACAAAATCGACATGAACTTGATGATCTACATATGAATGAAAGTCACATGAACTTGACAGTCTACATATGAACAAAATCGACATGAACTTGATGATCTACATATGAATGAAAGTCACATGAACTTGACAATCTACATATGAACAAAATTGATGTGAACTTGATGATCTACATATGAATGAAAGTCACATGAACTTGACAATCTACATATGAACAAAATTGATGTGAACTTGATGATCTACATATGAATGAAAGTCACATGAACTTGACAATCTACATATGAACAAATTCGACATGAACTTGATGATCTACATATGAATGAAAGCTACATGAACTTGACAATCTACATATGAACAAAATTGATGTGAACTTGATGATCTACATATGAATGAAAGTCACATGAACTTGACAATCTACATATGAACAAAATTGATGTGAACTTGATGATCTACATATGAATGAAAGTCACATGAACTTGACAATCTACATATGAACAAAATCGACATGAACTTGATGATCTACATATGAATGAAAGCTACATAAACTGACCAGACTATACATTCAAAGTGGCCCATGAACTGGCTGGTCTACATATGGACAACAGACATAGGAAGCTATGACTCTCCTCTTCCTTGAGTGCTGCAGGCAGACAAGGCTTTGTTTGTCTCCTACAGAGTTGACTGGGAACTCTGTGTGGCTTCATGGCCTATTTGAAAGCTTCCTTCCACTAACAATTTGCTCCACATGTTAGTGCCTGCTAGAGTTTGATCTCATTTTATTATGTAAAATATGAGATTTGTGGGAATGGAAAGTTCGGGCTTAGAAGAGGGTACAATGGATCCTTGTATTTTACGAGACAGAAATGCTTACATTGACATTATTTATTGGAGTAGGGTTGAGGATAAATCCTTGGATTTTGTGGCACTTTCATATTCATATTTTCATTTATTTATTATGCATCGGTCCTTTCACTGTGTTGTGTAAATCCTTCAACTAGATTTACGTGAATTCGTAAGCCATCTGTGGTGTTTTTTAAACATTGTTTCTGTCAGCGAGGTTTTTATTGACCATCCAAGGAATTTACTCCTTGGTCTGAATACATCACTCTATCAATTTACAAAACATCACATTTTGTTTTTATTACTAGTTCCTTTGTCAGCGTCAGGGATTGTTAGATGGTGAGGGTTCCAACATATGGTTGTCTTCTATGACAAATGGGGCCAGCCACCAAGGTGGAAACTCACATAATAACATAAATGACATCCCAGCTTGATTTACTAGTCACCAGCCATAAAACATTTCCTTGCTTTTTTCCCCGGACTGAATTTGAAGTGGTTTTCATGTGGTAAACTTTCTTATACTTTTGTATCAATGATTTTTTAATATACATTTAAA